CCAGCAGTCAGGGCATGAACCCCACTATAAAAAGGCGCCAAGAAGAGCTTCCTCTCTAAATACCTTCTGCAGGAAGTCTGAGACTCTAACCTGGTTTTCAGAGTCTACTCAGAATAATAAATGCAGACAGCACTGGATCAGGAGTTGGGCTCACCACCAGACACCAAAAGAGCAGGAGGAGCGGGACCAGGCAGAGGTCTCTTGGCAGCTGAGATGCCCAGTTGTCACGTCTGACTGTCCAGTGATGGTTCTGATCCAGTTCCAAGTGTGGAGCCAGATCACTGTCAAAGAGAAAGCCAAACACTGGTTTAAGTGGCCGGGGCAGATTTTATCAGGCGTATACTATTGCAATAGGGAAAGAGTCCAGTATGAACTGAGCTCAACTTGGGATTTGCTCAGAGGTGACAGCCTTTTAAAGGCGAATGAGCCAATGGGGAGGGAGGAGAACGGGGACTCAGCCAGGGAACTGGAAAGTTACAAAGAGGTAAAGAGGGTAGGTCTATGTGTAACCCATCTGGGTTGGTTAACCAGCACTCATCAAAGTTAGGCCCCTGCCTTCCTGCAGAGGCTGGGGATAGGGCCCTACCTTCAGGAGCTGGTGGGCACTGTAACTTGCTAAGGCTGAGTTTTCTCCGGCAGGCGCTTTAGGGGGTCCCAGGGTCAACCCAGGGGTGCAGCTTGAGCTCTTGGAAACTGTTCGTGTCTATCCACGTCTTCAGAGGCCAAGGTCGCCAGAAGCTGGACGGACAGGAGGGCTCAGAGGAGCCTGGCTGGGGGGATCTTCGTTAGAGGCGACATGACCAGAAAGAGGGGCTGCGGGAAGGGAGGGAAGGAGAGGAAATGAGGCAGCTGAGAACGATTAACATCAAGCAGAAGCCTGCCAGGCTGGGCACTAGTATGGGTCCCCCTCCCTACAAGGTACCAAGAAGCCCCCAGGTTAGCTTTGCTAACGAGGCATCTGCCAAACAGTGTCGGGAGACAAAGCAGTGGGAAGGCCTCTGCGTGAGACAATGGGGAAAGCCTGCGGTGCTTGTCCTAGGAGAGGCGCAAAGCGGCCTGCAGCGCAGGGAGGGAAGGTCCTGATAAGGCCCGCAGGCGCCCCACCACGGCACCTGGGCGCCCCCTACCGGCCCGCCGGCCACCT